TCCGAGGATGAAAATGGGCTATTACTCGCAGCATGCTGTTGAGGTGTTACAGCTACGTGCACGAGGGGAGCCGGAGTTGACGGCGCTGAGGCTGATGACTGCTGAGGTGGAAGGGGAGTTGGATGAGGGTGAAGTCAGGGGATTGCTTGGGTCGCTTGGGTTGCCGGGGCGCATCGCGAGTGATGTGCCGGTGGGCAAGTTGTCGGGTGGGCAGCTGGTGAGGCTGGAACTTGCACGGATTTTGTGGAAGAGACCGCATTGTCTTGTGCTGGATGAGGTGACGACGCATTTGGACTACGAGACGGTCACGGCGCTGAGGGAGGCGCTGAGGGACTGGGAGGGTGCTGTGGTGCTGGTGTCACACGACAGATGGTTTATGAAGGGCGCGGTGGAAGGGATCAGGGATGAGGAGGGGAGTGATGCTGCTGAGGAGGATGAAGAGGAAGATACGAGGCGGAGGGTGGTGTACCGGTTGAGACTGGGGAAGATGACGGTGCTGAGCGGCGGTGTGGAGGAGTTTGAGAATATTATGGAGAAGAGGGTCAAGAAGCTGCTGGCCGCCGATTGATAGCTACGCCATCACGAAAAAATGCATTGGCCATGTCTCATTGCTGAACCATCTATCCCGTTCAAAACCAAACCATATACCACGCTAAAACCCAAAATCACGAAATTCCAGAAGCTAGACAACATCCCTCCCAACAAGAACCTCGGTCCTCTCCTCCCCCGCCCTCCTGACACTCATCCACCCACCCCGTTCCACCTGCACAATCGTCCCATCAATACACATCACCCGCCACCTCGCATCCTCCTCCTCAACCGTGACCCTCACCTCTTCCACCTCCTCATACCCAACCCCCTTCCCATCCTCCCACCTCATACCCACGTGCTCACCGCCCGCATACGCCGCCTTCATAACCTCCATCGTCCGCTCCCCACCGACATTCCCAAACGTAACCAACCTTAATTTCCCATCCAACGGCTTACTCTCGGGTGAAATCTTGAACGTCTTCTCCAGATTGCTCACCATCGTCGCGAGAACATAATTCCACGTCTGTCCCAGCCCTTTCCACTTCAGTTGACCGGTATGCTTGACTTCAACTTTCGCATCATACGCATGCGACAGCTTAAGCAGCTCACCAGCCGCCATGCCGAATCTTTTGTCGCCATGGACGCGGTAAGCTGGCGTATCGGATTCGTAGACCAGGGATGCGTGGAACCCGTAGCTTGCGACGATACACCCGTACAGACTATCGATTTTGTTACCGGTGGAGATGAGTCTCGCACCAGATGAGAACGTCGCGTGGAGGGTTGGTAGTGGTTTCACGGTGCCAGTGAAGAGAGTTCGTACACCGCGGATTAAGTCGCCGCCGCCAAGGGAATGGAAGAGTGCATTCCCTGTTCCTAGGGGTAGGACGGCTACTGTACGCCCTGACGCACCGTTGATGAGATCGACGACGCCGCCGTCGCCGCTCAGGAGGATGGTTAATCCGTTATTATCATTGGACTGTTGAGCTGCGTAATCACGAATGGTATGCTCGGACTCGGTCACGATCAGACGGTAACGGGCGGTGTACCCGTCGTCTGAGGAGTCCGAGCCGGATTCCGAGCCGTCTTTTCCATTTTCATCGTCGGGAAGGATACCGAGGCCGTGGAGAAGCGGTTGGAGGACAGATTCCCAGAAGGGGAGGGCGTGGCCTAGGCCGGATTTGGTGGAGACGATGATGGTTATGGGGTTGGCTGTGAGATGTTGTGGGAGGGAGGTGACGAGGAGATGGGAGAGGTGGGATTCGGGAAGAGATGAGGCGAATTGGGATTTGATTTGGAAGGGCGGCAACAGGGAAGGAAGCGAGTAGATGATGTAGCCGCCGATTCTGAGGGGACGCTTGCGGATGAGGATGATTTCGTCGAGGTTGAGGGGTGTTGGCGGCGACGAAGCCCACTCGAGCGTGTTGTTGCCTGTGAGGGTGATTTCGGTGGGGGTTGGTGAAGGTGGGGTGGATGGCATGTGAAAGGCCATTTTGAGCGATTGGAACAGCGATGTGAGGAAGGGCATTTTGAGAACCGAGGAGACTGACAAGAATTGGCGGAGAGCAAGAGACAAATATTACATTTTGATGAATTGTTCTTGATTTCTAATGCCGGCCGGTGTTGCAGTCAGCCTGCCGCTTGACTCAGAGCACGCTGAATTGCGTTATCATCCCGCCCACTTTCCACGCCCCGGCGTTGGAGGGCTGTGAGTGGAGTGGGCCACGGCAAAAGGCGCTGCCGACCGACTGCTGTTGGCGTCGTGCCGCATCCGCCAACTGCGGCCTTGTTTCAGCGAGTGGACGGGGCCGACTGCTGACTGCCGGATCCGAGCAGCACCTCACTTGCCCTTGGCCCTGTTCATGGGTCCCCAGTTCGCCGTCGGATTCTCCGGATATCTGACCAGCTTCCCTTTGGTCGGGTCGCGTCCCAGCTCCTCGTCAAACACCACCTCCGGCTGGGGCTCTTGACCTTCCTGATCCGTCCCGGCTTCATTGTTATCACCGAGCCGCAGCACCCGATAGGCCGCGCTGCCGGGCTTGATGTTTTCCACCGTGACCGGCTTCTTCTGGCGCACCCATTCCCGCATGATGTGCAGGATAATCGACCAAGGCGCGTCTGTCTTGATGCTGCCCGGCTTGCAGTGACTGCGCGTGACGCGGTATCCAAGGCCCTTGAGCGCGCCCCTGACCGCATTTTCTGGCGGCGAGACGCAATGCAGAGTCCCTGCGAGCCGGTGGGGGAAGAAGTAGAACGGCGACGGGTCCAGCACTGCGAGCCCCGCGTCTTTGGAGTGCGTCTTTTTCAGCTTATCACCGTTCTGTTCGGACTCTGCGTTCCACTCGTCCTCCTCGGGCGTCGGCAGATACTCTTCAAGCGCCGTCTGCAGCATGCCTCGTAGCCTGGCGGTTGTGCCGTAGATTTCTGTTGGCGCCTCGTTCAGCTCTGCCAGAATGCGCTGGACGAATGTTGGGGAATGCAGACGCCCTGCATACATGGGGCCTGTAAGGTGTGTCGTCGATCCGCAGTGCTCGCATGCCCGGTCAGCCGTGGGCCCTTGGGCGAACACATGCTTGAAAAATGTTCCGCTGCCTTTCTTATTTTCGACCGACTTGTTCCTCATGATGGGTTGCGTAGTCCAGGCGCCGCAGCCTGTGTCGCAGCTGTACACAACCATATTCTTGCCCCCCTGGAACTTGACCGTCGCCGGGGATTTCCTGATACGGACAAAGACTCTGATATAGAAATCGATCGAGAGAGACAGGAGAGGCTCAATAGCAAGACCATACTTTGCTGCCGACGTCTCGATGGCGTGGAGGATAATCCTCAGACCGACTTCGTGGCTATGCCAGCCCTTCAATGGGACACCGCCGTAAAGCGAGTAGCATTTTTCAGGATAGCCATTCGACGCCCAAACACCGGAATCTGTGCAGGTGACACAGAGCAGTCCACCATCGTCCCGAACAGACTGAACAGCCGCGTCGAGGAAAGGGGCAGCAGTTCCGTATGGGTCCAGATCAACCACATCGTACTTGTCGCTTTTCCTTGGTTTGCCCGGCTTGCCCGCATTGTTATTGCTCCGTAGCTCCTTTGCGATCAACGTATACATGTGTGCAAGGGCATCATCATGGCTGACGTTGATCTTGGACTCGAGACCGTTGTGCTGAACATTGAGCTTGATCGACTCGACGGCCGATTTGAGGAGATCGTTGGACGTCACCGACGTGACAAAGGGTATCTCATGGGCATATCGCAAGGCGCGGAGCCCGCTGGCAGACAGCGCATCGAGGATCGTGAATCTCGGCCCAGTGTTCTCCTTCGCCTGGGGTTTCGCCTGTGTGTCCTCCGTGTTCCCATCCTCAACCGGCTCCTCCACAACCTTATCCGTCGCAACCTCACCAGTCGCATCCGCTGTCCCCTCCGAAGCCCGGTTCTCCGCCGTACCCCCGCTCACCTCGGCGCCATCAAGCCTCGGGCTCTTGGCCGGCGGTTCCCCCTCAGTCTGCCCCTCTTTTCTCTTCCTCTTCTTATCTGCCTTGTTCTCCCGCGTCCTATTCGCAAGCGCCTTATGCTCAAACCTCTCTTTCCCGTACGCCTTGATCGTGAGGACCGTCAAATCGCGATTGAACTGCTGAATCGGGTTATAAAACACCTGGCTAATGCCCTGATCGTTCCTGAGCTTGGCATTCTCCTCGACCGTCTGCTCTGGCACAAGAATATGCGCCAACCCCTCCTTGATCGTCGTATACCGCACGCCGTCATGCTCGACAATCTGTTTCGGCGCGGGCGTCGCAGAGATGGGTTTGGCGTCGGAAGCCATCGCGCGCGAAAATACCGGTGTCAGTCGCTGCCAGTTGTGTTGTTTCCTGCTGTTTCCGAGAGCCACGCGCAAAAAGACAGAATAAACTCTGCTCATCCTCTTCTCTCGCCCAGCCGAGCAAGCTCCCCCGTCAACAAGGTGGGGTGCATCCAGCAACGGAGTCACGAAACCAAAATTTACTGGATTCTGCCAGGCGGTGAGATTTTGGGAGCCATCCTGGCGGCGCCCCACGTTGCCAAGTGCCAAGCTTTTTTTCTGCTTGGAAGTGCTCCACTGCGGCTCTCACTGACAATGCATCACGACACAACAAACGTTTTTCATCCCCAAAAATGCCGCGTGTAAAACCTTGCTCATATACTCCAATTATCCGCTCCAGACTCCAATAAACTCGGTCGATCCCGGCTAGCTGACCGCCCGGCTAGCTCAATCGGTAGAGCGTGAGACTCTTAAGGAGCATTCCGTCATCTCAAGGTTGTGGGTTCGACCCCCACGTCGGGCTCAATTCCCGTCGACGACTCGACCGAGTATTTTTTTATTTTTTGCGACTTTTTGTTTCGCTATTCATGATGCCCTCGATTTCTTTTTTTGTGACCCGCAGCCCTGGTTACCCACCACACAAGCAGAATTTTCTTCCCTGTCCTCCAACAAGCAAGGTCCGCTGGCTCAATGGCAGAGCGTCTGACTACGAACAAAGTACATCAGGAGGTTCCAGGTTCGACCCCTGGGTGGATCGTCACATCATCTAGATATCATCAAGGTGTCTTTTTTTTTTTTCTTCTAGTAGATCCGATGTTCTTTTATCTCCTATGCTAGGTCTGTTGCGTCGAACCAAGCTCATGACGGAAGAACACTCATCAATGGCTGGGAATGTTGTTTGTCAATATAGCGAAGATACACCCGAGTTTTCGAGGCATGTAAAATAAGCCTTTAACTAATTGCTCCATACCGGGAACAATCTACGTGGACGTATGGATATGACAAAGAACGAGCGTTGTTGCGTCTCAACACTGCTTTGTTGATGACGGGGGCTAGATGGGCAAGCCCCCCGTCCGAGATCTATCTATATGCTGTTGGCCGTCTCCCCCTCTCATCTTTGCCCCGTCCATCCACCATCCATGTTCAGCATCTACCCACCCCCGTCCACCCCTTTCCATCTATGCACCGCTACCCGTCTCATCGCTATCTGACCCATCACCCTGTCTCTCACCCCCAATTGTCCCCTTTCACCTCATCACCCTCCTCTCCCTCCTCCCTCGTCCCCTTCTCACACCCCCTCACTTCCCCCCTCACTTTAACGCTCGCGAATTACATTACTGAGGATGTATTCCTACAAACCTACCTAAATACAAACCCCCACCCACGCACCCACGCACCGAACACGAAACACAAACAACCCCCCAATGCAACCCTTGTTACCTACTCACACGCAACAAAAATGGGAAAGATTCTACCTAGGAAAATAAGCCTCACTAAACAACGTCCCCGCGGCCCCCGTAAACGTAGGCGTAGTAGGCGTCCCCTTCTCCCGTCTAACATGGCCCATCTCAGCCGCAAACGTCGTTGTAGCAACCCAACCAGCCGACTTCCGCGGGCTAACCTCCTCCATCATCTGATCGATCTGCTCGAGCGTGAGACCCTTCATCTCGGGAACCAAGAAATACGCAAAGAAAAACGAAAAGATGCAGAGAGAACCCCAGATAAAGAAAACGTTGGAACCCAAGCCGCCCTTATCCTGGCCGACCATGAAGGGTGTGATGGTAGCGATGATGCAGTTCCAGAACCAGTTGCACGCGGTAGAAATACCGACGCCACGGGAGCGGATAGGAAGGGGAAAGGATTCACCCACGGTAACCCAGCCGACTGGGCCCCAGGTTGTGGCGAAGCAAAAGATGTTGATGCAGATGAAAGCAATCATGGCCTTGATGGCTGAATCGTCATGGGGCTCGTTGCCGACTATCTTGCCGGCTGTTGCGCCGATGATGGCGACAATGTATTGGGAGATGACCATGCCGATTGCGCCGGCTAACAAGAGCATGCGACGGCCGAGGTATTCGACGGCGACGAAGGAAATCGGCGTCGACAGGACGTTAACGAGGGTAGAGACAAGCGTTGTTCGGAAAGGGTCCGTGTCGGCGTTGAGCTGCTTGAAGAAGATGGGACCAAAGTAAAAGATAAAGTTGATGCCTGTGAGCTGTTGCATCATCTGCAGGCCGGCCGACATGAGCGTTCGACGGAGGTTGGAGTTGCCCTTGTGGATGGACCCTTGGAAACAGGCGAGCCACGAGCCAACGTATGACGTCTGGGGAATCATCTGCATTTCGTACTCGTGGTTCGCTACGATTTCGGCCAGTTCATCCTTGATGAACTCGGAGTCAACAGGCTGGCCACGGACAATGGCGAGGTCCTTGGCGGCGAGATCGAGTTTGCCCTTTTGGACGTGGTAACGGGGAGATTCGGCTGACAGATGTTAGACAGGTCAAGTCGTGTGGGAAAGAGACTTACGCAAGAGGTAGAGACCGACACCGAGAACAATGGCCCAGAGGAACTGAACTCCGATAGGAATGCGATACGAACCCGAATCCTCGCGCTTGGAGGTCGAGTAGGTGACGCAGTTGGCCAGCAGGATACCAAGAGTGATACAGAACTGATAACCAGAGACCAAAGCACCACGGACTTTGCGAGGCGCAATCTCGGACATGTACAAGATGATGACGGCCGAGATGAAGCCAACCCCCAGTCCGGAAACCAGACGACCCATGACAAAGAGAGCTTCCTGGTTCGTCGAGGCAATCTGAAGAATACAGCCGCCGCAGAAGATGAGACACCCGTAGATAATGGTCGTCCGACGTCCAATAAAGTCGGCAAGATCACCAGCAATGAGCGCTCCGAAAAAGGTGCCACACGAGAGAATCGACGTCATGAGCGAAACCGTAGATGAGGGAAGGGCGAACGTCTTGGACTCCTCCAGGGTCATGCCTTGGTACGTCTGGGTCTCGTAGTCGTAGGGGATTCCGGTGTACATGCTGACAAAGTAGGGCATGATGACGACGCCGCCCATCCAGCCAGTGTCATAGCCAAAGACTTTGATGTGTTAGCTGAGTGAACTCACATACAAGCAAGATAGACGTACAGATGCCACCAAAGGCAGCAAAGGCACTCAGCAAGTATGCCTTGACCGTCACCGGAGCCTCGATCCTCGAGAGATCGGCGGTGCCCTGGATAGGCACAAAGCCAACGACTGATCCCATGCCCATCTTGTCTGTCTGGTCGTAACTGGCGGGCTTATCGAGAGGCTGGGTTGGTGTTTCGAGTTGACCAGGGAAGAACTTGGAGCCTGGCCAACAGAGGGCGCCCTCAAGGTAGATACAGGGCGAGAGTGAAAGCCCAGCACCGCCGTGGGAGGACTGAGACGCCGATGCGCCGACTCGAAGCGGGAGGACGTAACACAGAACCTCACAAGACCACGACAACAAAACCAAGGACAGCGACCCATGCGGGGGAGGGCCGTCTCGTAATTATACAAAGAACTAGACCTCTGCTCCACGCAACAAGGGTGACGCTAACCAACGGGTCCAGCAGGGGGTCAACATGGTGCTGGAGAGGGGACACTGTTCCGGAGCTGGGCTAGGGGAGGCAGGGAAGTAGGGAGTCGGCATGCCGTCAGCAGGGATCCAGCCTCCCGCTGGCCTGCACTCGCAGTTTCTCACCAAGACGAGACCCGGCTGTCGCATGCTGTTGCACCAGCCCGGTCTTGCTGCCGGCTGCGGATGGGGCCTGCGACCATGATCGTCGTCGAGGCCCTGGTGACCTCGCACACGGCGGACACCCGAACACTCTCTGCGGCTGATTGGCGCTTCTTTTCCGGCCATCGTGATACGGGTCTGACACCGTCAGCGTGCTCGCCATGCGGTCCCGGCTTCGGGCCGCTGGCCACAGCCCGCCACCATCGACGCAGGGCAGCAGGAGAAAGGGGACCAAAAGGAAACAACCACGAGAGCGGGATTGCGCAATGGCTAGAGGCGATGGAGTCGCCGCCCCCCGCCAAGCCGATGGTCGAAGCCGAGGACGGGTCAAAAGAAAAGAGCATTTCTTCAAACAAAGATAGCGGCGTCCAAAGGCGGCTCTGCAACTTGCCTTTTCCATGCACGAGCACCAATTCGCAAGTCGGCCGTCAATAATTGCCCGCCATCATCCATCTGTTTGTGCATCTGAGCCCCGAATGGCGTCGCGAATCTCGCAGCCCAGCCATTTGGGTCAGTCCAATATTCCCAATATTCGGCAAGCAGCGATCGCTGACGAGTGTGTTCGCCAATTCAGCCCTAGATCTCGGCCGTTTTCTGCCATTGTTGCGCTGACGAGAGGGGCATTGTGCGGTGTTCCTTGCGTGTCTTGCCTACCGTCTCGACTGGGCGACGTGCGTCGCACGTCTTGTCGAGAAAGAGAAAATGATCGGATTAAGCTTTGCTTGGCAAGACAGGGTTTGCTCGCAGGGATTTCCGCAAAGCGTACTGCTGGCGCAGTTCCCCCTTTCCGGGTCCACTGTCGCCACAACGCGACAAGTGCTGAAGAAGCAGCCGTTATCTCGAGCTTTCGTCGCCTGCCGGACCCTCCCAGAGCTGTCCTCCCTCGTTTTCCGCCCCTCGAGGTTTTTTTTTCGTGGGCAATTACACAGCCTCGCCGACCACAGTGCCCTTCCCCTCCCCGCTCCCCTCAAGTGCGACCTCGCACAATCTAAAGGCGAGACTGAGGGTCTCGCCATCCCGCAATTTCCCCGCCCAGGATTATCACCGGCTAGTTTACCGACTAAGTGGATTGTCGTTTGGTCGTCATGACCAAGCTCTGCGGAGCCGCGCCAAAGCGCCAGCTGCTGCAAACCGCACGTGGAAACACTGGCGCTGCTTCTGGTGGTGTTTGATAGCGTTTGGCGCCTGCTAGATGGGTGCACAGACAGAGGCGATGTCCCCCGACATCTCGACATTGTCCGAGGAAGTGCCGCTCTCGGGTCTGGGGAGACCTATCGCGACGACGAATGCTTGGGCGCTGAGTGCCGGCTAAGATTAGAAAGCTGGAGTTCTCCACGCTCTCTCCAGAGACTCCAGGAAGGTATGGTTCTAGCGTCAGTAAAAGCGAGAAAGCTGGAGGCGCCATCTGGGGAGATGTTTTCCAGCCACAACCAACGATTCCGGCCTAGGCTGCGAGTATCGGACATGCCGTTCGTGGTGGTCATGTTCAAGACTTTTCCACCTTGAAAGTCTCCCGTCTCGTGGCATACCTATGTATCGCGTGTGCCAACACGGGACAACGCCTCGGCAGCGGCTGGGCATCTTGCCCGCAGCTGTCAAACGCGGAACGGCGTTGTTAGGGCTGACGGTGACGTGCAGAGACATTGCGAAAACGCTAACAGCGCCACCGGATAACGACTGCCACGAGCGTAAAGCGAAGAGCGTCTTGGCTGAAGCTGTTGATGTTGGAACTGGTGATATGCGTTTTGATCTGGCGACCTCAAAGTTGTGAGCATCGTCGCTATCCTTGCCGTAATGCCGTCCCGACAGCTTTGAGTGGAGCATCATCTCCCAGCGCCCCGGAAGCTGGGATCTGGGAATCGAAGACGCGCGACATTTCACATTTCACAAAGGTCGCATTTAGCGCGATTCCTTTAGCCGACCTGCCCCGCGCTTTTGTCTGCGAAGTGAAAGGACAGATGTGACAAGTTCCATGTACATAAGGGATAAC